TGTGTAATACAGCTGTATGTTTATTAAACGGGTGATCTCTTCACGGGCAAGTTATAATCACTGTTATTTTGCACAGTGGATATGTCAAAAGTGAGTGTTTACATGTCTAGGCGTATCATGGCGTGAGGGGCCGATGTAAAAACAACATACTTTGTTCAAAGGGTTAACTGATAATACGTTGATTGATCGCTCATTGTTATCTATCACTCAATGGAATTTTTAGGAACCGTGGACGTTATGAAAATAGTTTAATTATTGAAAGCGAACTATATCAATGCGGAGAGTCGTGACGTCGTGACGTCACCCGTCCCAAACATTCCATTTGGAGTGACATCCCTTGGTTTTACAAACGACAGAAAATGGCGGCTACCGCAATGTCATTCACTTGAAATACAAGTTTCACCCAGTATATTTTCAGGGTTAGAAACTAACAGTTTTTGTCCACTAGTCCTTATAATGATAACATGTAGCAAAACCCTTAAAATGGGCAAATTTCTACTAGTCCTTAGGATACCTTTACTATTGGGCAGATTGGTAAGGACTACAGGACTAGTGCCAATTTCTAACGCTTGTGATGTTAGCATTGGAAAGAAATACACACCCGGCTCATGCTGAAAATGGATACATATTAACATTCTGTGAACTTCCGGTGTCTGTTTGAGTCATACTGCGGCTGCCGATGACGTGGATTACCGCTTTAGGCGGCACGGTTGGATTTACTGAGGCACGATAGTGTGGAGCTCGGTGATTTCTTTTGGTAAGTCGAGCATTCTTTGTTATAGTTTCGAATGGGCGCTTCATTTCGGTGACCCGAAATATACATGATCTGTCTGACTTCAAAGCCTGCATCATTCATAGCCTAAATCGAATCTAAGTCGCTCTCAGTTTTCCCTAATTATTTTTAATGTTATTTTTAGGCATTGAGGAATTCCCTTAAAGTAGTTCTGTATGTCTCCGAGCGATTGACAACGTAATCACGTGACATACTGACGTTCATCGGGAAATATTGACAGTAGTGGGTGACCTCGCCTTGGGTGAACACTACCAAGCTGACTGTCGTTCATTTCCCGATGAACGTCAGTATGTCGTTACAAACTTACAAAGGTTTGCACATCGTTTTTTTTTTTATTCATACCTCAATGAACCGGAAAAAAACAGTCAATGCTTATAATTAAATTCGACAACGTAAAACATGTTTTATCTACAATAGTTTTACCAAAAACAGTTGTATATCTCAAAACAGACAAAAATGACGAGACTGATAAACATTCCAGGTGTAGGTGTGGCGTGACATGAATCAGGTAAATCGTTTAAATTATGCACATTTGACACGCCTACACAGTCAGTAGCCAATCAACGGAGAGTAGGATCAAAAGAATGTTCATTGCACCTGCCAATTAAGGCAAGAGGCGAAAAGAAATGCAACAGTCAGACTGTAACGAACCGGAAGAAATATGTCCGGGAGAAGGCGGCTGTTTCAAATATCATGGTCAGTTAAACATTTAAACATTACTTCCCTGATTACGGTAAAACACAGTTGGAAAAATGCTAGTTAGAAATGAAACCCGAAGACATGAAAGTTGAGGCGAGCGGGGGAAAAACAGGCGAGCAAGCCTGCACGTTTGCTGTTTCATTCATTCTCGGCCTTCGGTTTCAAAGGGTAGTTTGGACAATGAATATGCATGAAAGTCGCTAAATGTCCTTTGCATGACGATACACGTGAGCAGAAAGGGAATTCCCTCGACTGTTAGATTGGGATTCCCCGACATTCCCAGTAATAAAAGTAGTGCGCCTCGGTGGGCGTGGCTTAATTGTTTACATTCATTGGGAAATGAACACACTCCGGCGCAAGAACACGTGATCAATTCAGCTAACCAGAATGCAGGAGTTTCAATGAACACAATGAAAAATTAATTATAGTATATAGTTAAAATTGATAGAATTGCCATAGAAATGCCCTCATGCCTGACGTAAGAGGCGACTAACGGAATCGGGTTGTCAGGCTCACTGACTTGCTTGATGCATGTCATCGATCCCAATTGTGTGGATCGATGCTCAAGATATCCATCACTGGAGTGTCTGATCCAGATTCGATTATTTACAGACAGCCGTCGTATAGCTGAGTTCGGCGTTAAACAACAAACCAACCACTCATGTCAACAGAAATCTGCGGGCCACTGTAACGTGATAGCCGTCCGCTTTCCCCTAAACGGCGGACTGGTGTCTATTCTAATGCTATGTTACGTCATTGGCGTCGCGTTTCTTGTTTATGACGTCATCCTATATTATGTTATGTGACCAATCTCATTAAAATCAGACCTTAGTTCTCGCTACCGCTAAACAAAGATCTGAAGACATCCCATTAGGGGTCACGTCAGAACGACCTTTCATCAGACCAATCAGAGCGTCGCTTACCAGATTATGAAAGTGACAGTCGGAATGTGATTTCTAATCATGCAACCTTGAAAACTTTATTCCGAACGATAGTTACGGGTTAAACGACTGAATCCATACAATCTAGCCCATCTATTAGCCATTCCAGAATGTTCTTTTGTTGAGGTTTCAAATTTGTAATCGAGAATTTGTCAAAATATGTTTCGAAGCGTAGTCGACAATTTGAAATTAGTGACGTAAAGCACGAGAAAGCTGCCTTCTGATTGGTCATTCCATTGGTCGGTCAAAGTTCGCGCAAGGTCGGTCTGTGACCCGTAATGGGATGTCCTCAGATCTTTGTTTAGCGGTAGCTAGAACTAAGATCTGATTTTAATGAGATTGGTTATGTGACGTTACTATTTGTAACTCAGTGACGCCCGTTGTAAGCTTTTTTTTTCTGTTATATTTATCCATAAAGTCACGAACGTGGTTTCTTTAATAAATACTGTCTTTGCTCTTCACAATTAATGATATCAAAACACAAAACAGTATAAGGGTAACGCTTCTTTTCAGAGCAATATCATTAGCAGGAGCCCGAAGTCTTCAATTACCCGCCCGACGAAGGAGGGCAGCTGAAAAGAGCGAGAGCTTCTGCAAATGATAATGCCCTGAAAAATAGCGTTACCGTTATTATAGCTAAAATAGAAAGAATTTTCTTATCAAATAAAAATGAACATGTCAACAATATTGATTTTGAAACATTTACTGCAATCAACACTTAACGAATATCACTGACCCCCTTTTACAAATAGGGAAACGTCATAGAACAAACCAGATGACGTCACCATTGAACATTCTCCCATGAATTTGGAAATTACTCGATTCTGATTGGTCAATCAGAGGCTATTAAATCACAATAATTTCATACTTTGAAGTTTACACTGTTTCTTTCGTGCTGATTGGCTGAATGGGTAGTCACGTGATATGATATTTGGAGTTCACACCCCGGTGAACGGACAAAAAAAGTTCACACGATGTGAACAATGTTTTTGTGAAATTGATCGTGTGAACATTTGCCGGAACTACTCCCGGGGTTTCCCCGAATTATCGGTAATCGGTGATTACGATCAACTCGTTTTTCTATTTTCTTTTTAATCCCTGCATTTATCAGCAATTTAATTAATCTAGTATTTTTGCCTGGTCTTGTAACATTTTATCTGACTTATAAATAAAGAAATGCTTTGGTTCTGGTGTTTGATGTCGTCTAGCTGCTAGGCCTACATGAAACAAAATGGATTATCCTTACGGTGATTTGAATATGGCTATCTTTCAATACTAATAACGCAATTGAAGAAAATTAATTCTGTAAAATTACTGGGGCCAATAACTGAAGTGAACGAAATTGATTTATTGAGCGATATTTACTTTGATGCCTTAAAAATTGTTTTCGGAAATGACAGGAATCTAGCACCAATGAAAACAATGTCGTACCCTGCTCAGATGTGGCCGCTGACACAGAGCAAACGCGACTGCTCCTGATCAATCCCAAACTAAAATCTGATTTACTATTGTATCGGGAAAAAAATCTAAGATTTTGAGAAACCATAAAACATAAAAAGGTAAGGAAAGAAACTTAAAATTTAACCCCCCCCCCAAAACACTTGCCTATCTGTTTTATCGATTGGTCATCGGAGACGATAAATATCCATAGACGGAATAAGGCCAAATCTACTATTCCGGTTTCTGAGTTGGCCAACCTTCTCCGTGCGTTCTTGGCCGAGAAGCGGCGGCATATGGGTAGTGACGGGGCACAGTAATGAAGCTGGCATCAGGTCATACAGTAGGTCTATCTCAGGTGACAAGAAACACCAGCTAAGCATATTTTCAGATTATGTTGTATGTATTCAAAGAAGTATTTCTCTTTGCGTGACTAAGTATGAGTGGGGAAACGTGTGTGTCCGAGAGCCGGCCAATACCGACAAAATAACATTGTTGCAATGTTCTTCGGCGAAAACACGAAAACAGAGGACTTCAAATTTAAGCAAACATTGTTACGATATTATTCAGCGAGACCAGTAAACTGCAAAGTATGAAATTATAAGAATTGAATGTCAGTTGGGATGAACACGAAATTCTTAAATATCAATTCTTAAATAAATTATGTTATAGAGAACAAAGAAATGTACGATGTATTGAAGAGGTGTATATCTTAAAAAAAAATATATATATATATATATATATATATATATATATATATATATATATATATATATATATATAAAGCAGAGTAAAGTTCTAACTCTCAGGCACAATATAGTAATAATTAAAAAAGTGGAGTCAGATTGAACACAGTTTTAATTGGCTAGCGCTTTCAACTCGTACCACGTGACATGAAGTAGTGACTACTTCATGTCCGTTATTCAGTTATGGAATTTAATAAACAACTATTTAGAATATCGACAAAATATAATGATTTAACTTTACTAATTTAATCGCTAATGATACGATTTAGTATTTTTTGTCTCAAATATTTGAACACAACTGGTACATTATATTATAGCTCTTTACACAGTTTGCGAAGACACAATAGAGTAGCGCCCCTTAGAACCACTCGTTTTGTTTGGAAATCAAAAAGTTTTTGCGACCAAAACAAGCGAAAATGCGATGCGTCCACGATTGTTTGGCAAAAACTGCCTCTAAATTGACAACTTCTGCAATTTTCCATTGTTTTGCACAAATAGTTTTCATTTGATTTGCTGAACAGACATTGATAGAGGTTATACGATATCGAGGACACTCGCGGGACGCTGTTGGGTTCATCATTCTGTGACCTAGTTTCTCTCTCCACGTTATAGCTAAATATTGCAGGACATAAATGTATTAAAACTTCGTAAAGATATGTCGGGCATATATCTGCAATCGACGGAAGGTGGGGAAGTAATTGAAGTACCTTTGGCAAAAACTGTCATCGGTAGAGGCCCATTTCTTCAGGTACTAAACAACGATTTAGCGAACATCACTTACAGTGGTGACCTCGGTGTTAAAAGTTGCAACATGCATGCGTCTGCTGATATTGCAGATTGAACGTGTTATACTTCATTCCATGTCGTTTTGTTTCAATAATTATATTCACATTTATGCAGGTATATCCTTTCCACAATGTGTGCAAGGAATAATGGAACACAAAGATAATTAATGAGCACAAATGTTGAAACAAGGATACTGTTGGTCATCAAAGAGGAAGATCTTAATATGATAATAATTATTTATGATTTGCTCATATTGTGTTCTTCACCCGGTGTATTTAAACTTGATTATGGCATTTAATAACCTGGTGAATTGGAAGAGAATGTTAACTGTATTAAGACACAATTTCCACAAACTCTTTATTTTTGTTATTACTGATGTGATATAGAATATATTCTGTACCATTATGGTGCCTGCCATCAGATTACTGACAAGAGGGTTTCCCGGAGCCATGCTGAACTGCAAGTTACTGACAAGAGTTTATACATAACTCCAGTAAGTCCATGTTACTGCTATGCTACACTGTTATTCCATTTTAGTATGTGTAAGATTACACATGTTTGTTTCTGTGAAGTAGCACCATTTCTAACCATTCCAATATCAAGACAAAACACACTACAGGATTTCATTTCTTGAACATATGTGAGTACCATTTACTGTTTGCATATGTAAATGATAAGATTGATGGTATGGATTATCAACTTCTTTCTTACAATTGTAGAAATATTTGCGTAAGTAAGCAAGTAAACAGTGTAAGAATCTTATCTTCCAAAACGTGTGGGCTCAGGGAGCAGAGGGGCAGTGGGGTAAGCTAGTGGTTAAAGTGTTTTTATTTTGCCGAAGGCTGGGTTTGATTCCCAAATAGGTACAATGTGTGAAGCCCATTTCTGGTATCCCTAACCTTGGTATTGCTGGAATATTGCTATAAGAAGAGTAAAACCATAGTCACTCACTCACTCTGGAAGCAGAATGTTTTTAAGGATATTTAGAAACATTAAAATCTATTTTTGTCAATTTTCCTTTCTGAACCAAATTGTGGAATAAAGTCGAAGTTTTGTCTTCTAAAGGCACAAAGGTTGATGTTTTGGTCAGATCTGTAGCATGGCAACAAGACATGAAATTCAGATCAGGAATTATTGTTTTATGTTTTTCATAACCTCAAATCCTTCTCATTATTGTAATAATGATGATATCTTTATATTTACAGACTCATACTAACCCATGTTTCCTGCGACGGGGAGGGGGAGATACCCAAGTAGCGTTGTCTAAGGACGAGAAGTGTAAGCTGGCTATTGGCGATGTCTTTGGACTGCTTCCTGAACAACTGTTTTTCACTGTGTGTGGAAAACAGGGGGCTATTAATGGTACAAGGTAAGTGTTCATGAAGAAGAATGAATGAATAGTGTGCTTTCAAAAGAACTCATGAGAATGTGTTTTGCTGAGGGTGAATTTTCATATCGTTATTCCCAATGTCACGGTTGTTACCTGAAATTGATGACAAGTTATGATAAGCTGTCACATATGCAACAAACGAACAAACAATACATCAATTGACGTTATATCACTAAGGGGAGATAAGTCATTCATGTTTATATTTTATGCGAGGTTATTAATAATGCTATAGTTATTATCTACAACAGATTTGTTTTAGAAAACTTACAATTTTTCATCTTCCCGTTTCTACTCTTGCCAAACAAGGCTGGAATTCTGGAGTTACATTTTGGCTGGACCAACGAGTCTATGCATCAAACTCGCGTTATGAAGTAGACATCCGGTTCGTAATCAACATCGATTTCAATGTGCAGATTTCGGTCGACTGCACGATTTGCAAAGCGTGTGTACCATCAACTGGACATCGACAGATAGTTCGCAAATCTTTTCTTGCTCAAGTGATTTGATGCTCTTCGGATTCATTTGTACAATATTTAATATTGTTTTGTATCATTTTTAGTAAAAAAATTTAACATCTAAAAAGCCTTATTGTTAAATGCCATTTTTTTACAGTATCAAAGAAGAATCACTGAGTCAATCAGATTCCAAAGTCAAATCTGAACCAAAGTCATTGGACAGAACAGTGAAAGATGAAGGTAATGGTTGCCAACTTGGGATATCCCTATACAGCCATGCATGAGTGAGGTGGGCTTGACACTGCTTAACACAGTATTTCAGTATTTCTCATCCCAAACTACCTTCCACAGGAGATATTGCTTTAGTGAGATCAAGCAATATTCCCTTGGAGATATCACTGTAATGAAATTGCATCACAATTTGCTTTGCAGACCATTGTGACACTATCGCTAACTATGATGTCACAATCAATGGCATCACTAATTTCTCTGCCACTGAAGCTTGTTAGCTGTACATTGCTCCCTACTGTTTACAAGCTGAATCTTACCCTTGTGTCTCGATATGAAAGATTCAAAGCTTTATCTACGAGCATCAGCTTAAAGTGGGAGGAAAGCATAATGCAGGTCATAGTAAAAGATCATAACACAGTTTACACAATACAACTTTTTGATTCAAGATCTAGACTCAAATTGTCATCTCTGTGACATCCTCACAACCTAACCAGATATCCTAGCAACATGTACCAAAATTATGATCACTTACCATAAATTACCAGTTTTATAGCAACATTAGAATTTCCCCAACTCTCTGACAAGTGTTTACTTCGTTATCACTTCTGGTATTTAGAGTTATCTCCCTTTGAACATAAGCACTTGTCACTTACAATAGGAGATGTTTATCACAGTGGTGTAACCCACTAGCACGAGGAGTAAAGTGCCGATAAACCAATCACGATAAAGGTGAATATGGGATTTGAACACTTAGTTCAATTCAGCGTGCAAGGAGTGAGATGTAACATGGTTTGGGATACAGGGTCTGCAGGCCTTCTCTGGTTCTGGGTCCACAGACCTGGTAGGGGTACTGGGAGTAAAAACGTTTTCATTTAATTTGTAGTTACATGGATCATTTTGTGATCACTTATCATGTTGTTCTGTGCAACGGCAGGTGGCAGAAACCTAGATCTGTAAATTCAACTCTTAAAAATAATGTGACAGTAGGTCTTGGACAAAAAGGTCTCCTGGTGCAAAGGTGTAAAACAACAAACAAACATGAAACCTTTTATTTTAATGCTTTTGGTTTAATGGATCCTTAAGCAAATAATTAAAAACAGCCAAAGCTTTATGTATGTTAACTGTTTGGTCTGCTCCTGTAGCGATCTACCATGACTCCGAACTCTATGTAATCTTCAGACCCTGATGACTTCCTGGATGATGTTGGCAGAGATTTGGAGGACTCACCAACACCAAGGAAAAAAACTAAGGTAATGCCAACAAGCCACTCACACCAAGCTACCCACACCCAGCCACCCACACCAAGCCATCCACACCCAGCCATCCACACCCAGCCACCCACACCCAGCCACCCACACAGAGCCACCAACACCCAGCCACCCACACCAAGCCATTCACACCGAGCCATCCACACCCAGCCATCCACACCCAGCCACCCACACCCAGCCATCCACATCCAGCCATCCACACCTAGCCACCCACACCCAGCCATCCACACCCAGCCATCCACACCCAGCCACCCACACCCAGCCACCCACACCCAGCCATCCACACACAGCCGCCCACACCAAGCCATCCACACCCAGCCATCCACACCAAGCCGCCCACACCGAGACACCCACACCCAGCCACCCACACCCAACCATCCACACCCAGCCACCCACACCCAGCCACCCACACCCAGCCACCCACACCCAGCCATCCACGCCCAGCCACCCACACCCAGCCATCCACACCCAGCCACCCACACCCAGCCATCCACACCCAGCCATCCACACCCAGCCGCCCACACAGTGCCACCCACACCCAGCCATCCACACACAGCCGCCCACACCCAGCCATCCACATCAAGCCATCCACACCAAGCCGCCCACACCGAGCCACCCACACCCAGCCACCCACACCCAGCCATCCACACCCAGCCACCCACACCCAGCAATCCACACCCAGCCATCCACACCCAGCCATCCACACCCAGCCGCCCACATCCAGCCGCCCACACCGAGCCATCCACACTGAGCCACCCACACCACCCACACAGAGCCACCAACACCCAGCCACCCACACCAAGCCATCTACCTCGAGCCACCCACACCAAGCCATCCATACCGAGCCACCCACACTGAGCCGCCCACACCGAGACATCCACACCGAGACATCCACTTGAGCCAATCACACCGAACCATGTCGGACCCAGTCAAGTGTCAAATGCTCAAAGACCAAGCAATGTTTGTTGATGTTGCCGTGATGAATGCTATTCATAGTACTCCAACATGTAAAAGTTGCATGTGGATTTATTCTCATGTAAATGTTAGAAATGTTTCCTGCACAATTCACAAAAATCCAAATGAAAAACAGAAAGATTATTTCATCCTTTAAAACTCATTTTGTGCAACTTGATACAGCAACTAGTATTTTGATGAATTTGTATAAGGTTGCCGGTGCTTATCCTGTCAGTGTCAATTGTGTGAGATTCCTTTCAACTGCACACAGAACAAGGACAGTGGCCCTGCGGTTGTGAAGGTTCGGGGCAAGCTGAAGATGGCGTTGCCTCTAGACAAGCAGCGTACACTGCCAGACTGGATGATCAAGATGGCTGCCGTAGGTCCAGTGCCAGAGAAGAAGAAGAAGAAGCCTACTGCTAAGATACCAGCTGTAGCCAAGAGGGGAGGTGAGTGTGACCTGAACTCCTTGAGGAAAACTTAGTATCTCTGCTAAGGGACCCTTTTCGTTTGTTTGTTCGTTGTTTAACACCACCCTCAGCTGTATTATGGCGGTCTGTATATCATTGAGTCTGGACCAGCCAAGCCAGACATCATGAGCATCAATCTATACAATTGGAATATGATGACATGCCATCAACCAAACCTGACCATCGGATACTGTTAGTCGCCTTATTGCCAACGTGGCTTCACTAAAATCCCTATCTTTTGTTAATTTTGTGTGTGATTTACATGTTGTGGATTAATAATTACAGTGTTTAAGGAAATTGAATTGTTACAGATATAAAACATTTCTTCATGATGTTTATGAATTTGCTTTTCTTAGCTGAGAGTTCCACTCCAGCCTCTCCACGTAAGCGAGCTGCCCCAAGGCGAACGTATGTTGATGACTATGATGACGAGGAGGAAGAGGAACCCCAGCCTGTACAGAGGAACCAGAAGAGAAAGAGGAAAACATTGTCTGAGGAGGAAGAGGAGGAGGAAGAAAGAAAACCACGGCGACGTGCACGACCATCACGTAGGGCAGCTGCGTATGATGATGACGATGATGATGACTTTTCACCACGAAAACGACCCCAGCGGGCAGCACGAGAGTCAAGAGGCAGCTATGGTGAGATATTGGTTTGAGAGTCCTCTATCATGACTGCAGAGTATATGTTCTACTCAGAAGAAGTTAAAGAACATCCGATTCTTTATATTACTTAAGTTAATCTGTCATACCATGACTTTTTATGTTTATAACTCAAAACATATGACATAATTCATAAGGTCATTAAACATATTGATGTCAATTCTTGTAAATAGTTATGTCCACAATAATAACTTTATATTTAACTCATATTAATGATAAACACTACAAGTGACTGTAGATTATATGAAATCAGTGACATTATTCAGTGCAATAATGCAAACAAGCCCCACCAACTCTATTTAACAACAGATCAAGAAACAACATCTGCCTGTTAGCAGATGTGCCTTCATTCTTTTTGATTTTATAGAAACAGAAATCATTTACAATTTATTTATTGTGGAATAAAAGATTTCATAGGCTGTGAACTGCCTTGAAATTTCGCACAATTCTTAGCGTGGGTCTGACAGCACTGCGCCTTTGCTCGACACCAAAGTTTGTTAATGCTGCATTCAACAATATTGAAGCTATATGACTGCATACTGTAAATAATTGAGTCTGGACCAAACAATCCAGTGATTGACATAATGAGCATCGATATACACAACTAGGATAGGATGACATGCATAACAAAGTCGCCTTTATCACATGCATGGGTTGCTGAAGACCAATTTTAACCTAGATCTTCATGGGTGTCTACAACCAAAATGTGCTGTCCAGTTATGGGTTTGAATCTTGGATTTGTCTCACTTATGATTCTTGGTTTGTAAGCACTATACCCGTGGGTTTTACTGTAGCTAATTCAACCTTCATCACTTCAGGCTTTAAAGCTGATATGCCTTGGTGTAACTAAACATTTTATTTAAAGGCATGTCAAACCCAACACACTCACTCACTCAATGTAGGCACTCCAGTCCACAGCATGAGTTTCACTCTCTCACACAAATGCCTGTATTCAGTATTGGATTATCATATCTTTTGTCTTTTCTTTGCGTGATGTACAATGTGTTGATACAAAATATGTTTCCAGTTGACGACTTTATCCCCGATGATGACAGTGATGCTTCGTTACCAGACCATCTAAAGCGGGTGAAGGATGACGACAGTGACTTTGAGATTGACGACGGTGGAGGCGGAGATTCCGGCAGTGACTGGGAGAGTAAGGGCAAGGGAAAGAGAGGAAAGGTAGATGAATTACCTTAGAGTTGGGTACCACAAGTCTTATTGTACCACAGTAATCTGTCTTTTACCATTGTGTTTACCACCATGCATGACAAACTTTTCATCATTGGGTGATGGTGATGCAAGTGTCTATTAACATGATTAATGTTTTAAATCCATGAGCACTTCACCCATGCAGGGGGCGGTGGGGTAGCCTAGTGGTTAAAGTGTTTGCTTGTCATGCCTAAGACCCAGGTTCTATTTCCCCACATGGGTACAATGTGTGAAGCCCATTTCTGGCGTCCCCCTCCATGATATTGATGTAAAATTGCTAAAACAGCATAAAACAATACTCATTCACTCACCCCATGTAGAACTAAATTACATTAAGTAATACGTTACCACTGTTATACCGAGGCCGTTGTCCCCCACAACTGCTCTTATAGTGAAATCTTCCACAGAGATCTCAATTACCTCATGCAGCACGTGCGTAGCCACCTAGCTGCCATGTGACACCCTTCACTCGTCTCTTCGCTTGCCTTCGCAAGACCTATCCATAGACTGCTCTGCGTTCTATCAGCCTCCTGCTATCCTTGGTGATATTTATTACTGTTTCTTAGTCCTAAGTAAACTGTAATATACGGGGCGTTCGTTATGTGGCGCTTAGAAAAGTTTCGCGCCTTTTTTCGCTACTAACGGGGGTGTGGCGGCGGCACTTTGTCTTTTCCGTCTACCTTTAGTGGTATATTGTGGGGTGTTTTTTTGCATCACTTATTATGATATATATATATGTTTTAGTCTGTTTTCAGTCGTACAATTGGGTATCTCATACCTCTAGTCGCACGTTAAAAGGAAGCTAGAAGCTGGAATGTAAACAATAAACTTGTTTCCGTCCGGTTGCGCACGCACCTCCCGATGACATGCCACAAATCTCTCAGCGCGCCTCTGAGCTGGTCGCTCAAGAAGGACTTTCACGATAGACTGCTAGTTTGTATTCTACTAGTCCGTATCGTGTGTCTACAGTTGTTGTTCTAATACAGTAATAATACTATGTCTTACCTGTAGACTCCTGGAATGTAATCATTGGTAATCCATTGTTTGGGTTCAACACGTGTTTCACTTGATTATACACGTGGCAACATGTCGGGCATTTGTGCCTCGTGTCAAGGACAACTGTCTAAAGTAGATCCTCACAAGTATTGTCCTTCCTGCAAAAATAAGGACGGGCTTTCAACGTGTTCGTGGAATAAACGTTGTTAAGAATGTGAGCATTTGTCTTCTATCAACTTTAACTTGTATCTTCGTGCGTTGGCGAAGCGGGCTACTGACCAGCGCTACAGGCAGAGGAGGTCATCGGGTGGATCCTTGGACTCTGCACCCCCTACATCTGGCCCTGGGGGTGGCGCGTCGGCCACACCCAAGAAATCAGTTGAAAAAGACCCGCCTCAGTCAACTTATGTTTTTTGACAAGACACGGGACCGGTCGCCTGCTGATGATACTACCCGCACGACTGATCTTTGTCAATCGGTTGATCGAGAGCGTCACTCAGCCACCCCCGTTACGACGGGACCGGATGGTGACGAGGACCACGAGGGGACTACGCTCCCCAGTCGGTCCGTCTCTCGTTCTACCAACGACGATAGGAACGTCGTGCGGGTCGACAGTGAACACAGATCCCTCTCTAGAAGTCGTTCCCGTTCACGGGACGACAGGTCGAGGGCCTCGTCGAGTGACAGTAAACGACACGAGGACGTTCGTCGCTTTCGAGGTCGTCGGGAGTTCGATTCGGACGATAACTACGATGGGGATCGTAGTACTTCTACAGTTAGAGATCGTAGCCCTCGCCCCCACGGGGACGTGCGACGCCTTCGAAGGGAGTTTTTGGGAGATCAGCGTCGTAGAGATAATGATCGATCGTGACCCTCGTCTCACTTTCATATCGACCCGGCTTTGATAGGCCAGATGACGGCGGCGGTACTCGCCTTGACGGCGTCGACCGAGAAGGGTTCGTCTACGTCGGAGGTCCATGGACAATCGTCCTGTACACCGGTTCCTTCATCTACGCCTACACAATCGACGTCGACGATGGATTGTGACGACAGCGTCGTAGAGATAATGATCGATCGTGACCTTCGTCTCACTTTCATATCGACCCGGCTTTGATAGGCCAGATGACGGCGGCGGTACTCGCCTTGACGGCGTCGACCGAGAAGGGTTCGTCTACGTCGGAGGTCCATGGACAATCGTCCTGTACACCGGTTCCTTCATCTACGCCTACACAATCGATGTCGACGATGGATTGTGACGACAGCGTCGTAGAGATAATGACTGATCGACACCCTCGTCTCACTTTCATATCGCCCCAGCTTTGATAGCCCAGATCACGACGGCGGTACTCACCTCCAGGGCGTCGACCAAGAAGGATTCGACTACGTCAGAGGTCCATGGACCATCGACCAATACACCAGTACCTTCATCTACATCTACACAATCGACGTCGACGATGGATTGTGAAGACAGCCTGGCTATGGCTTGGCTATCTCACTTTTCTGCCTGAGTTATCAAAAGATGATGACAAACCGACGTGTGCTGGCTTAAAGGTTGGAGATACGCCGCAGTCTCTTCAGTCTTCTCCTCCCAATGTCTTCAGAGCCATGGTTCACGATATGGACCAGAACTTGCCTCTGCTCTGCCGGGGCAGAGTTTCAGCAAACCACCTGTTTGATCGCGTTACCCGATCTATGGCATGCCGTTTTCGTCACCCATGAGTAGGGACTTGGATTGGGGGCTACTCTTCAAGAAACCAGCGCCCTCCAAGATTCTTGTAGTAGACAGGCATTGGGGTTCCATGGACACTGCTGTTCGTCTCCAGCTACAACCGCTTGCTATGCTGTCGACAGCGAGCCGGCGGGGGAGGTAATGAGGTCCCTTTTCCCCGCCGTCACCGTCGTCGGAGCCTACTACCTTTAGACGAGCTACCGGTAGGGGGAAGACTTCATCACACGGATCATGAAGACGGTCGTAGAATGGCTCCGTCGGCAGGCGATCAGGGTCGCCTTCTACCTAGACGAGCCGTCTCCTACGGGCGACAGGCTCACTAAAATACCGGAATTGCAGAAAATTCTACGTGCCTTCATGGTTGAAGATGAGTCACATTAATTCCGCCTGCCGGCCTGGGACCTCGATATCGTTCTGCGCTACCTGTCTAGTTAGACTTACGAGCCTCTCGATCAGGTCGCTTTCGACATTGTCTCCGACTAGAAGTACTGCTCGTATTTTTTAGTTACCTTGTATACTGCGAGTTGCTCTGTAACTAAATTATGCGCCGACCACACTTCGATCGCATTTCATCTGTCGTGTGCAGTTGTCATGTTGCATCGATAATTTGTTGTGTGTCGAAGAGCATTAACCATGCTATTTTTCGTTACCTTGGATACGACGAGTCGTTCTGAACTACTTTATATACCGTCCACACTTCAATCGCAATTCAACTGTCGTGTGCAGTTGTCCTGTCGCTTCGATAGTTACTTGTGGGTCGAAGAGCATTAAACATGCTGTTTTAGTTACCTTGTATACTGCGAGTTGCTCTGTAACTAAACTATACGTCGACCGCTTCGATCGCAGTTCAACTGACGTGTGCAGTTGTCCTGTCGCATCGATAATTAGTAGTGTGTCGAAGAGCATTAAACATGCTGTTTTAGTTACCTTGCCTACGACGAGTCGTTCTGTAACTACATTATAAGCCGACCACGTTTCGATCGCACCTCAACTGACGTGTGCAGTTGTCCTGTCGCATCGATACTTACTTGTGGGTCGAAGAGCATTAAACATGCAGTTTTAGTTACGAGTTTTCGACGAGTCCGCCGACAAGGCTTTTCCCGCGTCAACTTTGTTGCGCGGGATCAAGCCGTCTCTGGAGAAAGCCTTCGCGGCAGCCTCCGGTCGGGGACTCCCGTTACCTCCTCCGTCATGGAGAAAGGGTTCGTTCCCGGTGCATGACTTGGCCTTCCCGGAATCAAGTCCCACCGCGGAGGACCATGTGGAGAGGTTCGGTGTCCGTGCCCCACCTGCTGCTACAGTCACTCAAGCGACTTTACAGCAGATGGACACCCTCTCTCGGCACTCCATGTTGCTATGTCACATGGCGACACCTACTTGGCGGGGGCGGCCAGTCTGGTCGAAGGTTCCCCCACGGACCGAGACCAGCGCATTTACAACTGTTTGATCGGTTTGAATGCAACCCTTGAGTACGTTGCCGGGGCTTCGGTCTTTCTTTCCGGCACGTGCCATTTTTTGAGGAGGCAAGCGTACCTTGCCTCTTCTGGGTTGGACGCCGCCAACCAGGAGGTGTTACTTTCGCAGCCTTGGTCTGCGCAGACCCTATTTAATAATCGGATCCCTGGTGTTCTAAAAGAACAGCAGTCTGCTTCGTCTGCCGCGGCTTCGCAGCATATGTTGGATCTGGTTGAGTCTCTGCACAGACGCCTGGGTGGTGCCCCTAAACAGAGCGCCCCTCAGGATGCTGCGGCCGGGAAGTCCAAGGGGTCGGTGTCTTCTTCCTCCGGGAAGAGGTCCCGCTGTGAGGGCCCCAGTAAGGGCAACCTGCCGCCCTTTCGGGAGAAGAAGGGACACTGGGGGAAGCCTAAGCCGTCTCGTGACAGTAAGGGCTCCTCCAAATGACTCTCTCTTGCAGGGTTCGTGTGCCAACAGCGCCAGCTTCGATTGGCCCGTAGGCGAACCTGAGTCATTCAGCCCTGGACAGTTGCGTCTGCCGCAGCCTGTCAGGCCTCCCTTCCCTTCCCCTGTCGGAGCCAGACTCCAGACTTACTGGGAGAATTGGGAACAAGTGTTCGACGACCCGTGGGTGGTCAACACGATTCGGTATGGCTATCGGCTAGATCTCAAAGCGGATCCGCCGCTCACCGTCGCCCCGTTGGTAGGTTTCTATTCGGAAGCTGATCTTCCCATCCTCGCCGATGCCAAGGCAGTTTGGTGGAGAAGAGGGCGGTACGGGAGTTAGTCCTACCAGAAATAACACTGGGGTTTTACTCCAGGATATTTCTTGTTCCCAAGAAAGACAGTGCCGAACTCAGAATGATTCACAATCTGAAATCGTTCCATGAGTTTTACCTGCACAAGCCGCCCAAGTTCAGAATGTTGACCTTGGCGGACCTGAAAGCTCTGATCATGCCGGCCGACTGGCTTGTTTCGATCGACCTGAAGGATGCTTATCTGCATGTTCCGATTCACTCAGATCATCACAAGTATCTCAGGTTTGTCTTTCAAGGCAGGCACTACGAGTGGGTTGTACTCTCATTCGGTCTTTCGTCCGCTCCCTGGCTGTTCACCCGGTTAACCACCCCCATGGTGGGGTTCCTCCACAAGAGGGGTATCAGGTACTTCGCGTACCCGGACGACTCGCTAGTGGCCAATCGAATGACGGACGCCCTGTCACGCCATCTCGATTTCGCACGTTGGCTCTTGGAGCAATTGGGGTGGATTATCAATCTCCCAAAGAGCGAGTTAACCCCCTCACAGAACTTGCAGTTCATCAGAGGTCGGTTCGACACGGTGACCCATCGCCTCTTTGGCCCCCCAGACCGGTGGCACAAGATTCAGGCGATGATTGCCAAAGTCTTAGCGGTGCAACAGACTGTTCACTTTTGGGAACAGCTGTTAGGGCTACTTGTGTCAGCCCAGGATTGCACCGATCAGGGTTGTCTCCAACTCCGCCCGCTGCAACGGTTTCTAATCCAGTTGTTAGCACAGGAGGAGAACAGTGCGACCGTCGCCCTCCCGGATCGGCTCCGACCGCATCTGGAGTGGTGGACGGTCCCTTGCAAAGTCTTATCAGGTGTCTCTATGCGGCCCTTCCGCGCCACGTTGAACCTGTATACAGACGCCTCTCTAGTGGGCTGGGGCGCCCATCTAGAGGGGGAGGGGAGCTCGGGGCTGTGGTGCGTCGACAAACAAGGTCTTCACATCAATTGCCTCGAGTTCAAGGCATCGTCTCGTCGACGCCCGGCTCATGCTGGCGACCGACAACACGACGGTAGTGTCCTATGTGAACAAACTGGGGGGAACCCACAGTCGCTCGCTTCTCGATCTCGCGTTTGAGTTTTACGCTCTGGTGGACAGTGTCCCGAGCCAGGTACGCGCCCGTCACATCCCAGGTGTGCAGAACGTACTGGCCGACGCTCTATCGAGGCCTCGGGATCCGAGCGCCACGGAGTGGATGCTAAACCCAGTGGTGTTTCAGTGGCTGTGCGAATGTTTGGGTCGTCCGATGGTCGACCTGTTCGCAACCAGGTTCAACCATCAACTCCCGTTTTTTGTATCACCAGTCCGGGACCCGAGGGCCATCGATCACGATGATCTCGCGTTAGACTGGACAGGCATGGACGCTTATGCTTACCCGCCGACGGCGTTAATACCACTCATTCTAAGCCGGCTCCGAGGAGTTCGCTGTCGAATGTTACTGATCGCGCCCATGTGGCCGAACAGATCGTGGTATCCCGACTTGCTCTCCCAGGCCACGCAGTCGCCACTTCCACTGCCTGTGAGACCGGATCTGCTGATCCACCCTCACACCCATCAGCTTCATCCAAACGCAGGGCAGTTCAATCTGCACGCGTGGATGTTGTCACCGAGCGTCTGAGGAGTAAAGGTTTTTCTCGTCGGGCGTCTCGGGCATACGTTAGTATGCATCGTGATTCTACCCAGAAGGTGTATAATGCACGTTGGGCTATTTTCACGAAGTGGTGTTGCAAACATCACATTCATTTGCCAGATAAGGTATCTGTGCAGGATATTGCTCGTTTCATGTCTCACTTACGAGAGACCCGGAAACTCTGCGGGGGTTCCATTGCCAACTATGTCTCGTCCGTTGCTACGGTACGGGACGTTGCTATGAGTACCAGTCTCTCAAAAGAGCCGGTGATTCGGGGTATTATCAAGGGTTTCAAACAGCAAGATCTTGAAAAGGTCCGCCTTCGGGCACCGGCCTGGGATCACTCCTTAATGTTACAATCACTTACGGAGGCTCCGTATGAACCCTTGGGTAGTGCTTCGTTCCGGCATGTGACTTGGAAAACAGCATTTCTTCTCTCTTTTGCCACGGCGGCACGAGTGTCAGAAATACACGCACTCGATGTCACCAAAGTACGATTCGATAGGGAGACGAATCTTACCTCCTGCTGATACCGAGGACAGATCGCTGTGTCCGGTTAGGGCCCTTAAGTATTATCTTAAGGCTTCGAATGAACGCAGACAAGGGCGTGACCGTCTGTTCATATCGTGTTACCCTAATCGCACGGTTGACATAACTCGCAACTCGATTGCGTTATGGCTTCATTCTGTCATCAATCTCGGGGGTTACCGGTAGCGGGGTCAAACCCGCACGAGATTAGGGAGCTAGCGGCAACATTTGCCCTACACTCCAATATATCTGTTCACAGAATATTGCGGGGTTGTTACTGGCGTTCTGACTCGGTTTTTGCCAATCATTACCTCAGATGGGTCTCTGATGAAGACGTGGAGGGTGTGCACCGTCTTGGGCCGCTGATCGCGGCACAAGCGGTCATCTAAGGGGTGTGCCCGGCGCAATTCCGAACTCCTCAGGCTTCAGACCTTGCACGGTGGTCAATCTGGGTCTACTCCAGCGTTCCCACAGCCGTGGGTACGGGTGTGGGGGTCCCACAAGCCAGCGCCCTCATCCACAGGTGAGTCGACTTTCTGTGTGTTTCTTTATTTGGATTTGACAATTATTAACGTAATTGTCTGTCGTGTATTGCAACCTTGTAATGCATGCTTTCCAATATTGAATTTAGGTCATGCGCCGATTACACACGCTTAAGTAGGCTTGTTCTCGGGATATACGGTCCGAATGAAATTAATTTCCCTCTTTTCGACTGTTTAACCTGATCTAAGATTTGGCTCACACGGATACTGTGTTCTCATCCGCTGCGGCGATGAAATACCTATCCAGTGGGGCCGTTTGGAGTCACCAATCGTTTTGGCAATGACGATTGAGCCTTACGGTATGCGCTTGACAGTGCTTTGGTATCCCTATATGGTAACGCTATGCTGGGAGCATGCGCATCGAGTGCATCCGCCTTGTTGTTTACTTCCGCTGGCCGGAAGGAACACGAGCAGTTAGGTTTCGGGTTGTAGGTGCTCCCCACCGCCTACTGTGGTAGTCAGCCTCGGTATAACAGTGGTAACGTATTACTTAATGTAATATGTAGAATTTTCCTATTCAGAATATTCTATAAGTAATACGTTTCCACTGGGCTGCTGCCCGCCTGTCGTCCCCCGAGCACTTCCTCTCGCAAGAGACAAGAGTGAAGGGTGTCACATGGCTGCTAGGTGGCTATGCACGTGCTGCATGAGGTAATTGAGATCTCTGTGGAAGATTTCGCTATAAGAGCAGTTGTGGGGGACAACAGCCTCGGTATAACAGTGGTAACATATTACTTATAGAATATTCCGAATAGGAAAATTCTACAAGATTCCCAATCAATGCAAAAATGTGATGACTGTTAAATGAATAAGCAGAAAGACTGCTACAGACCACTATAGTGTAGGTGTGAACCATAATACCTTCAACACTATGGTACACTTGTAAACCATTTTGTTCCTCACACTTCTAAGCAATACATAGTTTGTCGTAAGGGGAGATTTAAATGAACAACCATACTGATTGGGGGATTTATGGATAGTTCTTGAGCCCGTAGCAACCAGACCAGGTATGACACATCCTAGAAATGCACCATTGACCCACTGCCTATCACCCCTTACTTTGGTACCAGTGCTTTGTCTTGAGCCCAATGACTCAAAACACTACAAGTAGCCATCCAATCAGATAACACTCATGTGAGAGAAGGTGTGTCTTTGGGAACTTGTTGATGACTGCTGACAGTGAGATGGAGATGGTGACATAGCTTCTCAAGCTAAGCTATGCTAGTGAATAGGTTCTCTAATTCAGAATAGAATGAAGACATCACTAGGTGATCAATCCTATTATTGATTATACAGAAGGCTATTAAAAACCTGATCTGATTGGCATTTATTTAAGTCTGTAACATCTTTCACATTCTGACACAGTCAAAAGGCAAAGCTCTTGCCACGCCAAGAAGGGCGTCAGGCAGACGTGGTCGACCTCGCAAGGTCAGGGATGATGACGAGGAAGATGATGACGAGGAAGATGATGACGAGGCGTATGTTCCCCGGCCATCCAAACGGAGAGGCACTGCACCCAAGAGGAAGAAGATGGAAAGTGAGGAGGAGGAAGAGGAGGAAGAAAAAACTCCTTCTAAGAAGAGGGGAGTGGTCACAAAGAAGAGGCTCAGATGTCCGTATGGGAAGAAGTGTTACAGGTAGGTCAGCTGACCTGTACTGTGAGGGTACTGTGAACATGTATTGGATACTGAGAAGGTACTGTGAACATGTATCAGGTACTGTGAGGGTACTGTGAACATGTATTGGATACTGAGAAGGTACTGTGAACATGTATCAGGTACTGTGAGTGTACTGTGAACATGTATCAGGTACTGTGAGTGTACTGTAATCATGTATTGGGTACTGTGAACATGTATCAGGTACTGTGAGTGTACTGTGAACATGTATTGGGTACTGTGAACATGTATCAGGTACTGTGAGTGTACTGTGAACATGTATCAGGTACTGTGAGTGTACTGTGAACATGTATTGGGTACTGTGAACATGTATCAGGTACTGTGAGTGTACTGTGAACATGTATCAGGTACAGTGAGTGTACTGTGAACATGTATTGGGTACTGTGAACATGTATTGGGTGCTGAGAAGGTACTGTGAACATGTTTTGGGTACTGTGAGGGTACTGTGAACATGTACTGGGTACTGTGAGTGTACTGTGAACATGTATTGGGTGCTGAGAAGGTACTGTGAACATGTTTTGGGTACCGTGAGTGTACTGTGAACATGTATAGGGTACTGTGAAAGTACTCTGAAGGTACTGCCAACATGTATTGAATACTGTATAATTGAATATTGAATAATGTATTGGGTGCTACAAGAATATAGCATTAATCAAATTGCAAAATGAGCTCAACAATTTGCATTTTGTTGACATTCTTTGTAGAAAAAATCCTGCCCACTTCAAAGATGTTTGTCATCCTGGTGACACCTCATATGACGAAGCATCTGAGGAAGAGGGTGATGATGATGAAAACGTTGATAATGACGATGATAAACCAGAATGTGAATTTGGAACTGATTGCTACAGGTGTGTATGATGGATGCCCAGTCTATGATGTCACAGTGCATGCTACATGTGGGCTGGCAGCTTGACAGGCTTAGTGGGTGTCCTGGTTGCAGGGTTTCAGGGTGATCTTGTATGTGTTGATAAACTGCATATGTTATGTGACATTATGTGCATGTGTGTGATGGTGTATGATGTGGGGTTATTATATGAGGTGGATGATGTTGGGAGTATGAGATGGGATGTATGGTGTATGATGTGGGAGGGGGTAGGGTGTATTATGTTGTGTTTGTGTTAGGAGTGGGGTGTACTATGTGGGAGGATGTAGGGTGTATTATGTTGTGTTTGTGTTAGGAGTGGTGTGTACTGTGTGGGAGGGTGTAGGGTGTATTATGTTGTGTATGTGTTAGGAGTGGGGTGTACTGTGTGGGAGGGTGTAGGGTGTATTGTCTGGTGTTTGTGTTAGGAGTGGTGTGTACTGTGTGGGAGGGTGTAGGGTGTATTATGTTGTGTTTGTGTTAGGAGTGGGGTGTACTGTGTGGGAGGGTATAGGGTGTATTATCTGGTGTTTGTGTTAGGAGTGGTGTGTACTATGTGGGAGGATGTAGGGTGTATTATCTGGTGAATGTGTTGTTGGGAGTGGGGTGTACTATGTGGGAGGATGTAGGGTGTATTATGTTGTGTTTGTGTTAGGAGTGGGGTGTACTGTGTGGGAGGGTGTAGGGTGTATTATCTGGTGAATGTGTTGTTGGGAGTGGGGTGTACTATGTGGGAGGATGTAGGGTGTATTATGTTGTGTTTGTGTTAGGAATGTGGTGTACTGTGTGGGAGGGTGTAGGGTGTATTATGTTGTGTATGTGTTAGGAGTGGGGTGTACTGTGTGGGAGGGTATAGGGTGTATTATCTGGTGTTTGTGTTAGGAGTGGTGTGTACTATGTGGGAGGATGTAGGGTGTATTATCTGGTGAATGTGTTGTTGGGAGTGGGGTGTACTATGTGGGAGGATGTAGGGTGTATTATGTTGTGTTTGTGTTAGGAGTGGGGTGTACTGTGTGGGAGGGTGTAGGGTGTATTATCTGGTGAATGTGTTGTTGGGAGTGGGGTGTGCTATGTGGGAGGATGTAGGGTGTATTATGTTGTGTTTGTGTTAGGAATGTGGTGTACTGTGTGGGAGGGTGTAGGGTGTATTATGTTGTGTATGTGTTAGGAGTGGGGTGTACTGTGTGGGAGGGTATAGGGTGTATTATCTGGTGTTTGTGTTAGGAGTAGGGTGTACTATGTGGGAGGATGTAGGGTGTATTATGTTGTGTTTGTGTTAGGAGTGGGGTGTACTGTGTGGGGGGGTGTAGGGTGTATTATCTGGTGAATGTGTTGTTGGTAGTTGGGTGTACTGTGTGGGAGGGTGTAGGGTGTATTATGTTGTGTATGTGTTAGGAGTGGGGTGTACTGTGTGGGAGGGTGTAGGGTGTATTATCTGGTATTTGTGTTAGGAGTAGGGTGTACTATGTGGGAGGTTGTAGGGTGTATCATCTGGTGTTTGTGTTAGGAGTGGTGTGTACTATGTGGGAGGTTGTAGGGTGTATTATCTGGTGTTTGTGTTAGGAGTGTGGTGTACTGTGTGGGAGGGGGTAGGGTGTATTATCTGGTGTATGTGTTAGGAATGGGGTGTATTGTGTGGGAGGGTGTAGGGTGTATTATGTTGTGTTTTTGTTAGGAGTGGGGTGTACTGTGTGGGAGGGTGTAGGGTGTATTATCTGGTGTATGTGTTAGGAGCTGGGTGTACTATGTGGGAGGGGGTAGGGTGTATTATGTTGTGTTTGTGTTAGGAGAAGGGTGTACTGTGTGGGAGTGTGTAGGGTGTTTATGTTGTGTATGTGTTAGGAGTGGGGTGTACTGTGTGGGAGGGTGTAGGGTTTTTTATCTAGTGTTTGTGTTAGGAGTGGGGTGTACTGTGTGGGAGGGGGTAGGGTGTATTATCTAGTGTTTGTGTTAGGAGTGGGGTGTACTGTGTGGGAGGGTGTAGGGTGTATTATGTTGTGTTTGTGTTAGGAGTGGGGTGTACTGTGTGGGAGGGGGTAGGGTGCATTATCTGGTGTATGTGTTATTAGGAGTAGGGTGTACTATGTGGGAGGATGTAGGGTGTATTATCTGTTGTATGTGTTGTTAGGAGTAGGGTGTACTATGTGGGAGGATGTAGGGTGTATTATCTGGTGTTTGTGTTAGGAGTGGTGTGTACTATGTGGGAGGATGTAGGGTGTATTATCTGGTGTTTGTGTTAGGAATGTGGTGTACTGTGTGGGAGGGTGTAGGGTGTATTATGTTGTGTATGTGTTAGGAGTGGGGTGTACTGTGTGGGAGGGTATAGGGTGTATTATCTGGTGTTTGTGTTAGGAGTAGGGTGTACTATGTGGGAGGATGTAGGGTGTATTATGTTGTGTTTGTGTTAGGAGTGGGGTGTACTGTGTGGGGGGGTGTAGGGTGTATTATCTGGTGAATGTGTTGTTGGTAGTTGGGTGTACTGTGTGGGAGGGTGTAGGGTGTATTATGTTGTGTATGTGTTAGGAGTGGGGTGTACTGTGTGGGAGGGTGTAGGGTGTATTATCTGGTATTTGTGTTAGGAGTAGGGTGTACTATGTGGGAGGTTGTAGGGTGTATCATCTGGTGTTTGTGTTAGGAGTGGTGTGTACTATGTGGGAGGTTGTAGGGTGTATTATCTGGTGTTTGTGTTAGGAGTGTGGTGTACTGTGTGGGAGGGGGTAGGGTGTATTATCTGGTGTATGTGTTAGGAATGGGGTGTATTGTGTGGGAGGGTGTAGGGTGTATTATGTTGTGTTTTTGTTAGGAGTGGGGTGTACTGTGTGGGAGGGTGTAGGGTGTATTATCTGGTGTATGTGTTAGGAGCTGGGTGTACTATGTGGGAGGGGGTAGGGTGTATTATGTTGTGTTTGTGTTAGGAGTGGGGTGTACTGTGTGGGAGTGTGTAGGGTGTTTATGTTGTGTATGTGTTAGGAGTGGGGTGTACTGTGTGGGAGGGTGTAGGGTTTTTTATCTAGTGTTTGTGTTAGGAGTGGGGTGTACTGTGTGGGAGGGGGTAGGGTGTATTATCTAGTGTTTGTGTTAGGAGTGGGGTGTACTGTGTGGGAGGGTGTAGGGTGTATTATGTTGTGTTTGTGTTAGGAGTGGGGTGTACTGTGTGGGAGGGGGTAGGGTGCATTATCTGGTGTATGTGTTATTAGGAGTAGGGTGTACTATGTGGGAGGATGTAGGGTGTATTATCTGTTGTATGTGTTGTTAGGAGTAGGGTGTACTATGTGGGAGGATGTAGGGTGTATTATCTGGTGTTTGTGTTAGGAGTGGTGTGTACTATGTGGGAGGATGTAGGGTGTATTATCTGGTGTTTGTGTTAGGAGAAGGGTGTACTATGTGGGAGGATGTAGGGTGCATTATCTGGTGTTTGTGTTAGGAGAAGGGTGTACTGTGTGGGAGGATGTAGGGTGCATTATCTGGTGTTTGTGTTAGGAGAAGGGTGTACTATGTGGGAGGATGTAGGGTGTATTATCTGGTGTTTGTGTTAGGAGTAGGGTGTATTATGTGGGAGGATGTAGGGTGCATTATCTGGTGTTTGTGTTAGGAGAAGGGTGTACTATGTGGGAGGATGTAGGGTGTATTATCTGGTGTATGTGTTGTTGGGAGTAGGGTGTACTATGTGGGAGGAGGTAGGGTGTATTATCTGGTGTTTGTGTTAGGAGAAGGGTGTACTGTGTGGGAGGATGTAGGGTGTATTATCTGGTGTTTGTGTTAGGAGAAGGGTGTACTATGTGGGAGGATGTAGGGTGTATTATCTGGTGTTTGTGTTAGGAGAAGGGTGTACTATGTGGGAGGGTGTAGGGTGTATTATGTTGTGTTTGTGTAAGGAGGGGGTGTACTATGTGGGAGGATGTAGGGTGTATTATCTGGTGTTTGTGTTAGGAGAATGGTGTACTGTGTTGGAGGAGGTAGGGTGTATTATCTGGTGTTTGTGTTAGGAGAAGGGTGTACTATGTGGGAGGGTGTAGGGTGTATTATGTTGTGTATGTGTTAGGAGAAGGGTGTACTATGTGGGAGGATGTAGGGTGTATTATCTGGTGTTTGTGTTAGGAGTGGGGTGTACTGTGTGGGAGGGTGTAGGGTGTATTATGTTGTGTATGTGTTAGGAGAAGGGTGTACTATGTGGGGGGATATAGGGTGCATTATCTGTTGTATGTGTTGTTAGGAGTAGGGTGTACTATGTGGGAGGATGTAGGGTGTATTATCTGTTGTATGTGTTGTTAGGAGTAGGGTGTACTATGTGGGAGGATGTAGGGTGTATTATCTGGTGTTTGTGTTAGGAGTGGGGTGTACTGTGTTGGAGGATTTAGGTTGTATTATCTGTTGTATGTGTTGTTAGGAGTAGGGTGTACTATGTGGGAGGATGTAGGGTGCATTATCTGTTGTATGTGTTGTTGGGAGTAGGGTGTACTATGTGGGAGGATGTAGGGTGTATTATCTGGTGTTTGTGTTAGGAGAAGGGTGTACTGTGTGGGAGGATGTAGGGTGTATTATCTGTTGTATGTGTTGTTAGGAGTAGGGTGTACTATGTGGGAGGATGTAGGGTGTATTATCTGTTGTATGTGTTGTTAGGAGTAGGGTGTACTATGTGGGAGGATGTAGGGTGTATTATCTGTTGTATGTGTTGTTAGGAGTGGGGTGTACTATGTGGGAGGATGTAGGGTGTATTATCTGGTGTTTGTGTTAGGAGTGGGGTGTACTGTGTTGGAGGATTTAGGTTGTATTATCTGTTGTATGTGTTGTTAGGAGTAGGGTGTACTATGTGGGAGGATGTAGGGTGTATTATCTGTTGTATGTGTTAGGAGTGGGGTGTACTGTGTGGGAGGGTGTAGGGTGTTTTATCTGGTGTTTGTGTTAGGAGAATGGTGTACTGTGTGGGAGGATGTAGGGTGTATTATCTGGTGTTTGTGTTAGGAGAATGGTGTACTGTGTGGGAGG